TCAGACGGGGAGCCAGGAGAGGGCTGCTGCTGCCTCCCTCCTTAAGTCAGTTCTGAGCCATTTGCCCAGTGCAAGGATCTATGTTTCATCTTTTAATTTCTTACCTGAGCCACAGGCTCCTGACTCTGCTCTACTTCCAAAAGAAAGCTTCGAGTGGCCAGAAGAGATCTTTGTGGGCTGACTACAGAGGGGTAGGCCATTACAAACAGATTAATGGATGTGTGGGATGGAATTCTCCAGGGTCCTACTGCAGGCAGGAGAAATGGTTATTCTAACTTTCCCACTGGCTTCTCTCTTTTATTTAACAATGACTCTACACAAAAGCATTCCACGAAAACATAATTGGATTTCTAACTCTATTTGTTCAAAACTCACTTAACATTATAATGGCCCTAGTTATATTGTTTGTATCAACTCATCAGTAGGAAAGTACCTATTTCTGAATAAATATCTAGATTTTTGTGCATACATCTAGCATTACCAAAGCAGGAAGGGAAAAAGAAGCCAGAAATAGAAATCCATTAATAAAAACAGATCCCACAGATGTCTTGCTGGGCTAGATTTAAATGTGCCAGGTAAATTCAGGTTTGTGCCACCTGAATGCTATTTTTATCTTACCTATGTATGCATTTGCTTACTGTTTAATCACTGTGGTACTTTGGGAAAATGGGTTACTGAAGAAGGAGAATATATAGCCTGTTGTATTCAGGACTGCAATGTCAATTTAACTCAATCTAAAATAAATTAAACATATAATTTAATCTCACAGTGATTACTCCTTCCTCACAATGGAGGCTGCAACAGAATCCCATTTCCTGAAAATGCTAGAGGTGCCCCTTTCACAGTTTTAGGGCAAAAGCAGAGAGAGAGAGAGAGAGAGAGAGAGAGAGAGAGAGAATTCCTAAGGATTTCTGCATTTCCATTATGTATGTTGGATAAAATTTTCTTTTTTATCTTTTCAGATATATAATTACAATGGCTTTTTTCCATTTTTTTCCTTTTTTGTTCTTGCCCCTGGACAAGGAAGAGGCCACTACTCAACATCTGAAACGAAGCAGAATTTACTGTTCTGCTAAGTAAGGGGCACCCATGTCCCTAAACCACAGTCTCTCTGGGAGCCGGTGGCTGCTCTTACATGGGGTTGGGGACAGCATGGCACTCAGAGATTGGTGGCCTCTTTGAAGCAGAAGTGTCCGGGGATTAGCTAACCTGCTGCCATGGAAAGTCTTACTGAAGTGTAGCTGCTGCTGATTGGCTGGCTTTTAGGAGGGTGGTTAGCAATTCAAAGTTGTTATTAACTGATTGGGAAGGGTTTAAAACCCAATCTGGTAGTTAATCATTACAGTAATTACAGGCCGTCATTCTTTCTTTTTTGAATTGGGAGTATCAATTTTTTTTTTATGCTCACCTCCTGCTCCCATGTGCCACTTTGGGCAGCCTGTGTACTCATCGTGGCATGAAACATCATATTTATGAGTCCATTCATTCTTAAGGTGACCAAATCTCAGCCCTACACCCGAGAGTAAAATATTAAATACTCTACCCCTCCATGGGCCCTTTTCCAGAAGCAGCTTTGTTCAAGCCTCATGACATTCTTTGCCATGGAGATCAGATTAAGGCCTTAGGCTGCATTCTAGAAGTCGCTAACCAACAAGCAGGTTTGCCCTTTGACATAAATGAATGTCAGAGAAGAATCCTATTTGCCAACCCTGCTTTCAAAGAGCTCTGTGAATTGAACTGTCCTCCGTCATTCTTTCAGGCTTCTCCTTTCCAATAACCCAGCTGAGGAACAAGAGTTCCAGGGTGATTTCTGAGAAAACTTAATGGGTTGCACATTGAGGACCTAACTGCAGTGGCTGAGGGAAAAAAGCCTGAGCTCTACCCTATGGAACAGATCTGTTCCTGAAAAGGGACACAGTAGTAAGTGGATTAAGAGCAGGCAGATAAAGGGATTCAAAGGCTCGCTGGTGTCTTTTACCAGCTGTCTGACACTGAGCAATTCACTTAACCTCTCTGAGACTCAGTTTCTTCAGTTTTAAAATAAGGATAAAGCATAGTACTTGTCTCAGGGGATTATTGCAAGGAATAAATGACAGGAACACATAAGACACTTAAGACGGTACCTGGTAGATAGTAAGTGCTCAAAATCTTGGTTATATCATGATCTATTTTTCTCTGTAAAGAAATCTGGTGGTAGAGTGAGATAAGGCCTGATCTGAGAGTCAGTAGCCTCGGGTGTGAATATGGCTAATATTAGTAGCCATGTAGCCAAGGGTTAGCCACTAAACATAATTTTCTTATTTACAAAATAAGAAAGCTTGCTTTGCTTGCACAGTTGAAGTTAATATTTACTAACTTTGTAGTGCTGTTCAAACCATCTCCCTAGGACCTCAATTTTCTTACCTGCAAAGCGGTGCTAACAGCTGTTCAGTCTAACAAATAGAGTGGCTGTGAGTATTGGATGAAATAATACACATGAAATGGTAAAGAATTGCAGGTAGTCCTCATTACCCAAGGATAGTTGATATTAAAAATATTAAAAGAGAAATCACTTTAAACAAGAACAAAAATTTCACAATAACTGGTTAAAATATTGCTTAAATTTTATTGTTAAATATGAAATGTATAAAAATAATATAGTATTTATCTTACATTTACCAGAATCTTATATAATACTTTTAATTATTTGATAATTTAAAAAATCAGAAAACGAATCAAATGTTTTTTTGGGCTTAACTTGACAGAACATTTTAAGACGTCCCCTTTAGTTCATATTTGACATTTGCTTCACAAATATTGAATGAGTCACTTTTTGCAAAAATATTAAAAAACTTTATCTGTTCTCCCAAGGGCCTCTTTTAATCCTCTGATATTTAAATTACTCTCTTTTGAAGCTCAATTGTGTTCTGGTCCAAATTGGATGAAAGCCTGCATCTTTTGCAGGATATGCAATTTCACTTCAGTTGCAACAATCTGCATTGGATTTGCATTGTGTTATTGACCACCTGGGAGTGTCCCACAAAGATCTCCACACCACGTGTGAAGATAGGCACTGGCATAAACGGGAAGTTATGATTAAATGGAAACTAATTATAAAAGTTGTCACTTCATTAGTGAATCTTGTTCTGCCCTGAGAATTTTGCTTCCTCACCCAATCCTGGAACTGCAGAGAGGTAGTTAGTGAGTCCCCCTACTCTCATTAAAACTGTATATGGTTTGGCATCAAATTCTTAAGAATTAGACTGAATCCTTGGATAGGAGACACTATTTTAAGACATCCTTTGATGTTTTTCAAGTAAAATGAAAACCCTACCTAATCCTTGACTTAATCTTACTTTCATAAATCTGGATTTCCAGGGATCACACTCTCTTAGAGCAGGGTACATCCACATTTCTTTGATGAGTTGGGGGTCAAATGTTGCCTCATTTTTCTCTCTGCAGGCAAGGGGCCACGTTCAAGGTCATTTTGAAGTAAGCCCAGGTAGGGCAGGCAAAGAAATAGGTTCCCCACTTGCAGAGAGAGTGAATTCCTATGTGGGGCACCTCTCTTGTTTCCTGCAGCCCCGATTAATATAGGTCTGCAGAGGTCTTTCTTCCCAGTCCTCAGCAGATGAGAAGAGTTGATGATTAAAGACATAAGCAGGCCAGGAAAGAACAACCCTTCTCTTCCTGAGCACCTTCCATAATTCATAACACCCCCTGACATGTCCGGAAGGGAAGTGTCTGATGTTTATCATGATCACAAAAGCCACCCTTTCCCCATCTTGAAATAAACTCCACATTTCTATCCTGTGGGATTAGCAGTGAATACAGCTGAGATCAAACAGGATTTCATGGTGCTTTTGTTAGATTTCCTAAACAGGCAGCTGTGGGCAGAAAATTAAACAAACAACAGGGCTTTTCAGGGGATCCCTAAATGATCATGTAGTAGCAATTTTCAACCTTTCTCATCTCATGGCACACATAAATTACTAAAATTATGTGGCTCACCATAAAAATGTATCTTTTGCTGATGTGACAAAAATAGGTATAGTTTTGATTTATTCACACTGGACAGCTACTGTTGTGTTGGCTGTTGTCATTTTTTTTAATCTGACAATCTAAGGGAAAAGAGGTCAGTGCTCTCGACTAAATAGTCAAGTATTGCATGTTTTAAAAATTCTTGCAGCACACTGGTTGAAAATCATGAATGTAGTGTCATCATTGACCATGTTGTTCCTCGTTCTGCAGCCAGACCTTGTTATGACAAGAAGCTTGAGCTCAGGGATTAGGGAGAATTTTTGAATGCGCTTTGTTCTCTTTTTCCTCCCAAAATAGACAGTGGGTGGGAAGGGGAGGCAGAGAGAACGGGGTGGGGTTGGAGGGGGGTGAAGAGAGAGAGGGAGAGAGAGGGAGAGACTGGAGAGACTGCTCTGCTGCCTGGAGAGGAAAGGAAGCACCATACCGCAGAAACTCTGCCAGGCCTAGGCCTGCGAAGCTCACGCACACAGTCCACAAAGACTCAGGCCAAATGTCGGCAATCTCAAAGCCCCATTTCACCACATCTTAAGACAGCTCTAAATCCTTATAGCTTCTCATTTAGGAGACGGAAGAGAAATACCCTTGGGAAATCCCCTTTGAAGCCCTAAGCTCTAATGTTTAAAATCTGTTAGCAAACCACATATTTCTATGCTCTCACTAGGGCAATTGGTTTCTCTCCAGATAAATCACGGGCCTGCTGAGCATTTCACTGAGAGATCTTTGGGTCTCTTTTAAACACTTCAAAAAGCCCAGCCTCAGGAAAGTTGGCCCAAGACTGCCTCCTACAGTCTACAATTCTGTTTGTAAAAATCCCGTGGGACTGGTTTGCCTGGAGGGTTGATTTAGGAACATTGTGCAACCCTGGCATTGCAAAAGAGTGTCAGGTGGTGGCCAGGGTCTAGGGACATCCGAAGTCACGCTTGGCAGATGAGCAGAGAGAGAGAAGTGGAGCCTCCATGAGGGCATCAGATGCCTCTTACCTGTGGTGGTTGGCACCTTAGCCATCCAGGGCCTCCTGAGCTCCATGGGAAGAAAGAGGAGAAATGCAGCTCATAACCTCAGCAGAGTCTGAGTGAACCTCGGATGTATAGGCCATGTTGCTCTATGTCTGAAAAATAATGATTCAATGAGAAAGGCCAGTCAGAGGAGGAAAAGAAGTACCATACCTTTCAAGGATCTGCTATGTACTGGCTTAGCGGGACCCAGAGGGCACAGATGTCATGATCCTGCCCCATAGGTGCGTGCAGTCTAGTTGGGGAGATAAAATGAAGACACTTAAAGTTAGAAGGAACAATTCTCTGAGGAAAGTAGTCTATACTAACTGAAAGTTTAGCCTCTGGAATCTGATTTCTTGACACTAATCCTGCCTCCCTCAATTTACTAGCTGTGTAACCTGAGGAAAGCTGCTGAACTGTCAGGAAGCTCAGTTTCCTCTTCCTCAAATGTGTGTATCGGAGTGCCCGCCTCACAAGGAGGGAGTGAAGGTCCAACGAGCCATTCCCATGAAATACTTCGCCCATAAAAGGTTCTCAATAAATATTAACTGTGGGAATTATCCACTATTCAAAAATGGAATGTAATTCAGCTCCAAAAGAGTGTGGTGTGGCCTAAGAATAACTAATATTTTAGAGAAACAGGAAATAAAGTCAATTTAAGGTGGGTTTGGAAAAAATAGGTTGAGATTAAATTAGCAGTAGAAAGGGGCAAAAATCATTTCAGACATGCAAAAACTGTGAGAGAAGGCGCAGGCACTGGTATTCCTGTCCCCAGGCCAGTTTGGACATCAGGCTGCCCAGAGTAGAGGTGTGGTGAGCATGCAAGGAATTCAGGTTAGTTTACAAGGGAAGGACCTGAAAACTGGACTGAAGTGGATCCAGCTGGATATGATAGAGAGGAGTGAGAAGTTGAGCGTGAGATCTCCACACAGGAGAGGATGGGGCAAAGGCGGAGTTTCAGGAAGACTGAAGGGGCAAGGATTGCAGGATACCAGGAAGTGGAGAGGCGGAGGCAGGCCGACCAGCTGCGGAGACCTCGCAGTGATCTGGGGGTGTGACAACTGGGGTCTAAAGTAGGATGGAGGACGGATTAGAAAAACATGTACAGAAAACCTGAAATGAGACTTAATGACACTCATGGGCACTACATATGCAAGGCAGAATATGAAAGCTTGAACCACAAGTTTGTTCAGATATGTTGGCTAAAAGGAACGGAAATGCATTCAAGTTAAGTCAAGTAATTAAAGAGTTGTATGCAGCATGGAACTCAAGAAAAACTAAACAAACAAAAGGAGGCCTTGGGGAGGCGGTAACCGGAGTCTTTTATAACCCAAATGGCTCTGGTAGATGGTATGTTTTGTTCTAATGCTCCACCATTAACAGGTTTAATTTTGCTCCATGTATCTGTCTGCATCTCAGTTCTCTCACTCCTGGCTAACTCCCTCACCTGTATATACACACACATATATATGTACACACATATATGTATGTGTATTTGTGTGTATATATATATTCATATTTTATTACCTATAGTGTAATGAGGATAATATTTAAAAATATTAACCTAATATGTTTTATTTCCCCTCTCAATTCATATTCTTCATAGACTTCTGCCTCTGCAACACAGCCATGAGCCCCCTGTCCTATGAGAAAATAACAGGTTTGAAAACCAGGCTGGGATGAAAGAGAGGATTTTCTAAATTCCTTTAGCACTTTAGGAACTAACCTGGAAGGGTCAGATCATAGAATTCCTCCCAGGGTAGGGAGATGACATCTTTTGCATCTAATACTATGGCTAAGCCCCAAGGCTTGACTATGAATGGTGTCAGGATGATCTAATGCAGGTAAACTGATAGGAAACCTCACCCTTCTGTCCCATAGGACTGTGGTAGAAAGCAGGGAGGCTGAAGTGAAGGAAAGACACCCATTTTTCTCTTCCTGTTATCTCTTACCACCACCTTGAAGCCAAACTTGAAGGTCAGTGGGTAGCTTCAGGAGCACCTAGGTAATTTTGGGTACTAAATAGCTTGAGGACTCTGCTCCACTCCACACCTGAGACTGCAGAAGGCAGTCACTTCCCATGCTGCCTACCCTGTGAAGCTCTCTGGGAGAGCTTCATTGAAGCAAACCTGGTGGTGCCATTGGCAGAAGAGAGGAACTTCCTGATGGGGCTCCTGTAGGGCTCCAATGATGGGGATTTGTCAGCAAGGAAACTGAAACTTTGGGGAGCTCTATTTCTTAGCATGAATGTTCTGATGCTGCAGCAGATAAGGGCAGTCACAGCTCGATAGCAACAGCAACAGCGGCATGAGGCCACATGAGCCAGGGAGGGCCACCAGTCACTTTCCAACCTGAGAGGGACCACATCACAAGTGATACAACCGGCCAACACAGCTGTGAGATCCAGCAGGTCCAGCTGGAGGGTCACTGCTGGAGATTAGAGGAGATTAATGATGTCAAAAGCCTTTTGGGCTTCTTTTTCTTCAGAGCCACAGGGTCACTTAGGTCCCACTTGCTCCAAAGACTCAGATGCCATATTGAAAAAAGGGAAACAAAATTCTCAAACATGGATTAATACCTAAAGAAATGTTAAAATTATTACTTCAAGCTAAGAACTGGACTAAAATGTTTTGTTTCATTTTGCTTCGTTCCTTTTGTTACCCAGTGGATGAGGCTCATAATGCAAAATAAAGGAGTTTAAATCCAACGAGGGAGCTATATTCTCTCTTCACAGTAGAATTGTAGTTTAAATACATTTATAACCCTACCACTAGAGTGTCTGCTTGCTCATAGTTTCCACTCCATCAAAACTTTCACTTCAAAATGGTCCATTGCCCTGGCTGGGTAGCTCAGTTGGTTAGAGCATCACCCTGATACACCAAGGTTGCAGGTTTGAGCCCTTGTCAGGGCACATAGGGGAATCAACCAATAAATGCATAAATGTGTGGAAAAACAAATCAATGTTTCTCTCCCTTCCCCAATTAAAAAAAAATTGTCCATCATGAGTTTCCAGACAACTTTTCCATTGCTCTCCAAATAATTACTAACAGTTTCATTTTTCATTGTTAAGTGCTTCATTTGCACACAATTTCTTAGTTCAAGGATGCCCCAGTCAGAGAAACAACTTGGCTTAGATTGTCCTTTTTGAGCCAGGTTGTCTGGACTGAGAGCTGACCTTTAGGTTAGGAAATGAGAGAGAGAGCCGTAATTAGGAGAAGTTCCAGGAAAGCATTTGAGGTAGATAAATCAATAGAAACAGTTAATTCTCTACTATTTCACCTATGCTTAAAGTCATAACAAAAGGAGAATTGGGAAAAGTGCCCAGTAAAGGTATAAAAATGTTCTACCTTAACATATTCCTTTCTCTGTGTTTCTCCTTAATTGTGTCTGAGTTTCTCCCCTGCCAGGTAAAGCTTAGGGAGTTCTGTAAGTTTCACTTCCTTTTCCCATAAGGGGGACCAGGTGTCAGTCAACTCTTTCCTATGCAGAATTTTATTTATATATTCTAGCTCTCAAATGTTACAGTTAATGCAATGTTGGCATTATATATTTTAAGTAAAATATGATTTTTCAAAGAATTGAGATATATTGAAAGAGATAAATTAAAATCACACTACATACTATTTTTGTTTGAAGATTCAGAAGATAGTTCAGTATTTTCAGTTTCTTTGGGTTATAATTAGGAAAATCAGTTATCATTGTTCTTTATATGTGCATCTAAGAGTCTTTTGTTTGAGTCTAAGTCAGCTTATAATTCTATTTTATGTTGCATTTATTCCAAGTTTCATTTCATCGAAAAGTGACTTTGAGGTATTCTGTGATGTAGCTCCTACCTCATAACCATCTTTGTCAAGAATTCCACAAGTTCACGCAGCAGGGGTGTTGAGGTTCATTTAAGGGGAACCCAGCTGAAAAGCCCATTTCAGGTGATCTACACTTTAGCACAAGTGTGTGCCAGGTGAGCCATGGAAAAACCCCATGAGGGCCTAGAGTGTTTTTGGAAATACTGATTTACTCATACTGAGTAAATACTGATTTATTCATTGTGTGGCTGCTGATTTACTCATTCATCTAACATCAGCATAAGTTAAAACCTGCCCTTTCTCACATTTTCATGTCAATGACAAGAGGACCGTGCTGATATAAGGATTTGGTAGCTGACATCAGTGTTAAACCTGGGTTTACCCAAGGCCAAACCAGGAGACCAACGAACAGGAGAAGGCCCAGGAGGTCTTTTTTTTCTAATTCAGTGCCACTCCTTAGTGTCATATGTGAAAATAACATTCACTGCTATATCAGCTGTAATTGTTGAAAAATAGATTAAGATAGAGCCAAATTATACATAAATGTACCTTTAATTATATTTACAGGCAAGGGACAGTTTATTGTTTTTATCCAATGCCCCTGTGGCTCAGTCATTATTTTTATTTAACAAATATGCAGTGAATTTACTATATGCCAGGCTCTATAAACTGCTGTGGTACAAATCTTCTCAGCCAGTGTTCCTCTCACCTCGGCCCTAGTTTATTACAGTACTTGCTTATTTGGTGGCGTTTTTACTCCCAGGACAGTTAAAAATCTGAAGAGAAATGAGACATATAGGCTGAATAGTCTAGAACTGCATTGAGTCCAGAGTAGGAGAAGGGTGTGGCCTCTGAGAACCCATAACCAGCTGTGTAACCAGAGATGGATTAAGGGAGAGGTTGCTGGGACTCATCCCCAAGCACCCAATTGTGAAGGGGCGCTAAGCATTACCATACATGAAATGAGAAAGAATACAGGTTTCTGCAAGAACTCTTCTCATGGATTACACTGTATGTGGTTAGAAGGAATACTTGAACCAGAAGGGTGGACTGGGATGGGGCAATGTGAGACTGATTGCCCATTGGGCTGGCTTTGGTAACCATGAATGTTAAAACATATTTCGTGTTGTTATTCCTCCATGTCAAGGTTATTTAAATACTTGTTTGACTTAGAGAGATGCTATGTGCTATGTGCTATGTGCAGGGAGAAACAGAGGGCAGATATGTGGGGAGCCTTCATTTCTTAGCAGCAGAGAGTGACTGTTCAGCTTTTCTTTTTATTTTAAGGGGTGATACACTAGTGAGTCTTTTTCCCAACTGTGAACAACAGGTGCATGCAAGTCATCATGAGGGGAAAACAGACTGGAGCGATCAGACTTTCTTCTGCTCTGCGGGAAGCAGGGCCATAGGCACTTTAACTGAATGAGGCCTTTGGGATCTAAGACCATTGCGAAGATCTTAGTCTGCAGTAGAATAGTCACCAGCTTTCATTTGGAACCCTAACATGAACTGAGTAATATTACTCAGGGAGGAGAAGTTTTAGATATTTTCCTTTAATTTTTTTATGATGATATATTAGAATTTATACATATTTGTTTAAATCCTATGGACTGTTTTCCCTTGGAAGCAACTTGGTCAAAATGACTCTTATGTGATATGATTTATTTGGATCCAAAAGCCCCATTGCAATGTAAAATAAAAGTCCCTTTGGCTCTAAGGTTCTTCCTTCACAGTGGTGATTTATTTTTTTCAAATTCTAAAAGTTATCTCTTTGATTCTCTCATTCTATTCTTCATTAGTTTTTTCCTGAGTGGAGAAGTGGAAGTGTTGAGAATTATAGGCAACAATGGAAAGTAGGGGGTTTTATGCCTTGTTCCACATACAGACATTTAGCAGAGAGTGTTTAGCTAAAGAGATTCATGAGCAATGAATAAACACTTTTGTACCCTGAGGTTTTCCATGGGCACATGCTGACATAGAACATCTCTGGGACATATTATTTTCCCATTTTGTTACTTTTAAGAACTTGTGAGAGTCATTAGCAACTCTTTGCTAAAAGCATAAAGGCAAAGACTTTTAGCCAAGACTAAGAAGAATGACTTCTGGCCAAGATGGAGGTATATGTAGAAATGCTTTGCTTCCTTGCACAACCCAAAGAAGGACAACAACTAATTTGAAAACAATACACAATCAGAAATGCCAGAAAATCAAACTGCATGAAACTCTGACAACCAAGGAGTTAAAGAAACATTTGTCCAGACTGGTAGGAGGGGAGAAGATGGACAGTCAGGCAGAGAGGACCCGTGGCAAGGCAGTGGACTGTGCTGGCTTTGCAGGGCTGGCTGAACAGGCAACTAAAGACTCAAAACCTCTAGCTGTAAAATACTGTGGGAGTCATGAAGGTGGGAGAAATTCCCAGTCTCACAGAAAAGTTTGTTGGGAAGTGGGGCTAAGGTGGAGTGAACAAGCTGCATTGTTCCTTCTCTTATCCCTCCCCCACAGACAGCACCACATGCAGCAAAGAGGGTTGCCCCACTCTGGAGAATACCTAAGGCTCCACCCTCTTACAACATAACAGGTGCACCAAGGTAAAGAAATATGGCCCAAATGAAAGAACAGATCAAAGCTCCAGAAAAACAGCTAAGCGATGAGGAAATAGACAACCTATCTGATGGAGAATTCAAAGCACTGGTAATCAGGATGCTCACAGAAATGGTTGAGTATTGTTGCAAAATAGAGGAAAAAGTGGAGGCTATGAAAAGCGAAATAAAGAAAAATACACAGGGAACCAACTGTGAAGGGAAGGAAACCAGGACTCAAATCAACAATTAGGAACAAAAAGAAGAAATAAACATCAAACTACAACAGAATGAAGAAACAAGAATTCAAAAAAATGAGAAGAAACTTAGGAACCTATGGGAAACTTTAAGCACTTCTCTAGAAGAAGAAGAGGAAGAGCAAGAAACTGAAAATATATTTGGAGTCCCAAAGAAATTGGACCCAATGAAGCACACACCAAGGCACATCATCATTAAATTACCCAAAATTAAAGATAAGGAGAGAATCTTAAAGGCAGCAAGAGAAAAGGAGACAATTACTTACAAAGAAGCTCCCATAAGACTATCAGCTGATTTCTCAAAAGAAGCCTTACAGGCAAGAAGGGGCTGAAAAGAAGTATTTGAAGTCATAAAAGGCAAGGACCGCCATCTAAGACTACTCTGTCCAGCAAAGGTATCCTTTAGAATGGAAGGGCAGATAAAATGCTTCCCAGATAAGGTAAAGTTAAAGTAGTTCATCAATTCCAAGCCCTTATTATATAAAATGTTAAAGGGACTTATCTAAGAAATAGAAGAAGATAAAAAATTATGAACAGTAAAATGATACAAACTCATTACCATCAACAACTAAGCCTAAAAAAACAAAAACTAAGCAAACAACTAGAACAGTAACAGAATCAGAGGAATGGAGATAACATGGAGGGTTATCAGTGGAGAGGGGGAGGAGGAGACTGAGGGGGAAAGGTGCAAGGAATAAGAAGCATAAATGCTCGGCATAAAATAGTGGGAGGTTAAGAATAGTATAGGAAACAGGGAAACCAAAGAACTTATATGTACAACCCATGGACATGAACTAAGAATTAGGGGAATGCTAGAGGGTGGGGGTTATGTGGTGGAAGGGGGATAAAGTGGAGACAAAAATTGGGACAACTGTAATAGCATAATCAATAAAATACACTTAAAAAAGGACTGAGAAGTAAACAATGTGGCTCCAATTTGTGTACATGGATTACCTGGCTTAGTTTCCTTCTTTTTCTTTTTTTCCCACATAGTACCTGATCCTGTGCTTGTTCCCTGAAAAGGTAAAAGATGAAAAACCACATTAACTCCAACTGCAAAATTCCAATCTTTAAAAGAGATCTAAGGATAAGAAGCATCTGGAATTTACTGAGTGAACAAATTGAACAGAAGTTCTATTATTCAAGGAATGTTTAAATATGGGTTTCAATTTGCTGTTACCATTTGAATATGAATGTGAAATGGAGTGGCACACAGAAGCAGATAATATAACAGGCTGTGAACTATTAAAATTGATTTGGGACACTCTGTATGTGTGTGTGTGTGTGTGTGTGTGTGTGTGTAATATCTTTCATTTTATAGCAACCTAATTTGTTTAATTTAACTTTTTCTCTTACAGAACTTATAAACCCAGGGGGCTTTTTATACTTCATGATTAAATCAACCTCAATGATCATTGAAAATTTCTAGTCAGATGCTGGGGAAGGAAGGGGTACCAGGGACAGAATCCAACACTGCTCTGGTGCTGAGAGCACACTGAGGAATGAATATCTGTTTTTCAGAATCCAAAATATCGAATAGAATAACTAAAATGAATTAACAAATTTTACCTGGAGAGAAGACAGTGATTACTACACCATATCGAGCTATCCACAGACAACATTTCACTGAGCCTCACAAACCAGAGAGTAGTGTGCTATCATTCCCTTCTCATGGGGGTGGTGAGCAGGTGTATTGAAATGTGGGTAGGTTGCCCAGCTGTCCTGGCACAAGCATCTCGTATCAACAAATCATGTGCTCTTTTTCCTAATCTACAAATTCTTCCAAAAAAATACCCTTCCACTCTGAAGTGGATAATTCATCTTCTAGCTACAAAAAATATTGGGATAGTGTTAAGGCTGCTAGATTTAGCAAATAAAAAAAATAGGACACCCTGTATAATGTCCCAGATATTATATGGGACATACTAAAAAATATTTGTTTATCCACAATTCACATTTAACTGATGTCCTGTATTTTATTTGACAACCCAGTGGTGTGTGGGGGAAGGTTATGGGCATTTGCCAAAAGTGAGGAACCTGAAGGAAAAAGCAGGTAAGAAATGAAAACTCAACAATGAGCGTAGGGTTCAATGAACAGTGTAAAATACATGCAACATAACATTTACCATCTTAATAATTTTTAAGTGTACAGTTCCACGGCATTAAGTACATTCACAATGTTGTTCAGCTATCACCACCATTCATCCCCAGAGCTTTTCTCATCTTGCAAAATTGAAACTCTGTACCCATTAAACACTAACTACCCATTCCCACCTCCTCTCAGTCCCTGGCAACCACCATTTTCATTCCTATCTCCAAGAGTTTGACTACTCTAGATATCCCAAGTAAATAAAATTATATAGCATTTGGCCTTTTCTGTCTGGCTTATTTCACTTATCCTAATATCCTAGGTCCCACCTACATTGTAGCATGTGTCAGAATTGTATTACATTTTAAGGCAGAATGATATGCCATTGTATGTATGCACCACGTTTTGTTTGTCCACTTATCTCTCAAGGTACATTCAGATAGCTTCTTTCCTTTGGCCACTGTGAATAGTGCTGCGATGAACAGGAGTTGGGCTCATGAATTTTACGTGACACTGTGCTGAGCTCTGTACAGAGGAAACACAGAAGTGGCTTCATGAAAGTTTCTATTTTAAAGTAATATCATATCTAGCCAACAAATATGGCACAACAACCAACAACTAGTTCTTTTACTTATTTAACATTTATTGAGAGCCATACTGTGCACTTGTATGTAGTTAAAAGTTTCGGGCTTGCCCAAACAGAAGGTCTGGCTTTTGCCTTTGACTTTTGGGAGGTCATCTCTGGATCTTCAGAAATTTATAAGAGTGCCTGTGCTTGAGATCTTTGGGTTGTATTGCAGAGTCCAACAATGTGGTGGGTGCTAGCCACACTCACGTAGCCCTAGGGCAGGGGAGTGCCACCCATATCAAGTCTTAGAATGGGGCTGGCCAGGCCAGAAAAATTAACATTGTGGCTTAGGGTCAGGATATAGCTGTTGACCTAGAGACTGGGATTACCAGTAACCATGTGGACAATCAATCAGTTAATCAACTCTGTATGGTAGAATCTGAATAAAACTCTGAATGCCAAGGACTGGGCCAGTTTCCCTGGTTAGCAGTACTCAGTGCATGTTGTCACACCTGGGTGCTGGGGCAGTAATTGTCCTGACTGCCCTGGGATAAAGCAGGAGCTCTGTGTTGGGCACTTCTCCTGGACTCTGCCCTAAGCACTCCTTCTTTTGGCTGATTTTAACCAGTATCAATTCCTTGTAATAAACTGTAAGTATAATAGCTTTCAGTAAGTTATCTTCTTCCTTGTAGTAAATTATCGAACCTGAGGTTTGTTTGGGAACCTCCTCATCTTGCAGTTGGTGTCAAAAGTAAAAGTAATTTTGGGGACCATATCTTATAACTTTATAGTTGTCCTAACTCCTTACGCCCAGGCATTGTATTAGGTGATGAGTATATGTTATGAAAGACAACATGGTTCCCACAAAGTGAGAGAAGGGAGAAGTCAGATTTCCAAGTGCTGAGGACAGAATGTTGGAAGGCAATGAGACACGAACTAGCTTGATGCATTTCAGAAACGCCAAGATGTTTGGCAAGGCTGGTTTTATTCTAGGCTGCCCATGTTTCTCTCTTGTTGAATGACATGTTCATCCATCCAGTTGGTTAAGCTAGAAATTTAGAAGTCATCCTTGACTTCTCTTTCTTTTTCTTAGCCTCACGACCTATCCATTGTCAAGTCCCATTAATTTTATCTTCTATATCTCTTAAGTGTACCTATACCTTCCCATCCCCTCCTCCACCACCACCCTGGTTCATGCTACCGTCAGCCTCCACCTGAATCACTGCAATAGCTCTCTTACTAGTACACCAGCTCCACCTCATCCCTGTCAAATTATTTTACACACTGCAGCCAGAGTGATTTTTTTTAAAACGCAAATCTGATTATGATGTCACTTTATCCACTCCACATACTCTTAATATCTTTCCGTCTTCTTCTCATCAATATGGCTTCCCTTCTCTCTACACCCTTGTTCTCCCCTCCAGCACTTAAGCCTTTGTCCTATGCCTAGTTGTTCATGGCCCCTAAAGTCAGCCTTTTATCCAAGCCTCTTGTACTTACTTTTGAAGTACGCCAATCCACAATAACTTCTTACTCTTCACCACTCATCAAAACTCCCATTTGTCTGAAATTCTTTTTTTTTAATCATTGTTCAAATACAGTTTTCTCCTTTTTACGAAATTCTTATCTCAACCAGATGTTAAGAGAAAGAATTTTGCTTTTCTGGTTAAAGACATCTATCATAAAGTGTAAATAGCTTATACACATTAATACATTAACTAAATACACATTATTAATACTTTAATGTGTGTTCTTTTGTTCAAGTACATCTCTGGGGGGCTGTATGTTTGTGCACACGCATGCACTCACAGGGACTCTCCACAAGATTTGTGTCCAGCCTGAGAGTCTGGGGAGCATGGTATTTAGTAGGGCAGGCTCGGGAATTAGTCTGCTACATTTCATGTGCAGATTTAGTCTCATATTGGCTATTTGACCTTATGCACACTACTTAGTATTTCCAAGTATGTATCAGTGTTTTCACTTACTACAATAGGTGTAATAAGATTTTTGTAGAGTGAAATGAGATGATGTATTTACCGGAGACAGCACTAAGTTGCCCGGTGAATGTTAGCTATTGTAATAGTTGATAATCAAGGCAGTCATTCCCCCAACCCACCTCTGCTCTGAATCTTAGAAAAAGCGGGACATGATTTGATACTTCTTCCTCAAAAGTTTCCTACTGACAAGAAGAGCATTGTTTTTTTCTATTTTTTGTCCATGGCTAGAGAGCAAAATTCCAAGAATGTGGCATCTCTGCATAAAGCAATTTGAAGGTTTGTGCTATGGACCAAATTGTGTCCCCCACACAACTGCCTGTTGAAGCCTTAACCTCCAATGTGATGGTATTTGGACATGAGGCCTTTGGGAGTTAAGCAGGGTTAGGCAAGGTCATGAGAGTGGGGCCACATGATTTGAGTGCCCTTATAAGAAGAAACACCCAAGAGCTGGCTCTCTTTCTGTCATGTGAGGGCAGAGCAAAAAGACAGTGCCTGCAACCTGGAAGAGGGTCCTCATCAGAACGTGACTGTGCTGGCACCTTGATCTCAGACTTCTAGCCTCCAGAACTGTGAGAAAATAAATGTCTGTTGTTTAAGCTGCTCTACTCTTTGGTATTTTGTTATGGTAGCCTGAACAGACTAACACCATTTTAGTGATAAGATGATCTTACAACTATCTCAGTACTGAATGTCTTTGCAGTGAACCAGTGGAAACTTACTAATACAGTTAAGACTTTATCCACTGACCTGTGATCTGGTTCACTATGTTAATTATAGTCACAGGCTACAACTCCAGTCAGAGGTCCTTTAGGTGAATCACAAAAATTGTTCTCTGAACTGGTAAGAACTTAGGAATCATTTCATTCACCTTCCCTTGTGGCAGAATAAGTCACCGAGGCCCACAGTGGTTAAAGAGTTTATCAGGAGACACACAACTGGAGGCCAGACTCTCACCCTCTGAACCCAGTGTTCTCTCTACCCAATGCTTCCCTGCATGTCATCAGTCACAGGGAGGCCCTGGTGGAGCTGCTGAGGTGAGTTACCCAAACCACAGCTCCTAGGAAGAGTGCAGATTTCCTTTCCTAAGGCATCTTCATGTGCATGTGAGAAAACATTGTGCAGCAGTGTTGAATTTTGATTTGCACTCTAACTGAGAGATGCAAAGAAATGGTGGCTTATTTGTTTTCTGGAGGTATCTAAACTTCCTTCTAAGTTCCCCAGTCCCCAGTGTGGGGGGTGGGGGAGGAGTGGTGGGGCTAGGACAGTGACTAGTGACACATTTGCCAACAAATGCTATCACTGTCTCTTCCACTTAAGCACCCTGTTCTAGATTGTTTGATCTATCTAGGATTGGTCTTTTA